AGATGAGACTAAAATTGAATTATTTGGCCTCAACACCAAACAATATGTCTGGCGGAAATCCAATACAGCTCACCATCCAAATAACAGCATTCCTCCAGTAAAGCACGGAGGAGGTAATATCCTGTTATGGGGTGTTTCTCTGCAGCAGCGACTGGAGCACTTGTCAGGATAGAAGGAAAAATGGATGGGGCAAAATACCATCAAATTCTTGAGGAAAATCTGTTGCCGTCCGCCAGAAAGTTGTCAATGGGAAGAAGGTTTACCTTCCAACATGACAATGACCCAAAGCACACAGCAAAACCGAGCACACAGTGATTGAAGGAGAAAAAGGTGAATGTCCTTGCATGGCCTAGTTAGAGCCCAGACTTAAACCCCATTGAAAATCTGTGGAATGACTTGAAGACTGCAGTCCATAAACGCTCACCATCAAATTGAACTGAACTTGAGCAGTTCTGCAAAGAAGAGTGGACAAATGTCCCAAAGTCTAGATGTGGAAAGTTAGTAGAGACAAATCCCAACAGAATAAAGGCTGTAATTAAAGCAAAAGTGATTCAACAAAATACTGACACAAGGGGGTGATCCTTTTTCCAACTCTGTTACTCTGTTTTATTTATTTATTTTTTTTTTCTGACATGTTGGTGTTATATCTTTCACTTGGATGTTATAAATTGCACTGAGTAAATACAGCTGGATAAAACAAAAACTTTAATTTCAGGCTGCAAAGCAACAAAATGTGATTATTTTAAAGGGAGGTGATTCTTTTCTATCTCACTGTAACTAGTTAGCCAGCTAGATAACTTTATTATCATGACTAGGATTACCACTGTCATGAAATCCTGGATATCAGGATCCTGGCATTTTAAATGTTTTCCAAATGCCTAGAAAAGTAATTTTCTGTACATATGTATGGATCTCAATGAATATCAGTTTTCTTTTTCAAGCTACTGTTATGTTTGATTTCTGATTAAATTGTTCTTTTCAATTTGATTCAATTTGAGTCGATTCATTGCAATGTCAAACTGGTTCACAAAATTAACAAAACGTTCTAAATGATTTTTTTAAAAACTTATTCAAAAAAAATAGAAGCATAAAAAGCATAATTCATAAAAATAAGCATAATTTATATCAACAGTGTTTAATACATGACACACACACAAAAACATGTTTAAGTTTGCAACTCATAAAACATGTATATGATCAAAAGACACCACTTAATTAACTAGCAATACTAAAATACTACAATACCATAGATTTATAAACACAGTACAATAATATATAATAGAATACATTTTATGTATATTATACTCGGAACATTAAAAAGTTTTCTGTTATCGGCATTAAAGTAATTTTGTTCATATTTTAGGGCTAAGAATATAAATTATTCCTGAACTTTATATTTCATGTATAATGACAATATTGAATGAAAGTAATGTTTCTTTTTATCTTTTGTGTCAATGAAAAACGATTGTATTTAATGTGGTTTTCTTGCAAGACCATTAGGGGGCACTGTTGTATCAAACATGTTATTTGTGAAATTGCAGGGGCATGAATGGCTTCTTTGTGTGTAAATTTAATTCTGTAGTTAGTCTATCATCACACTTTTTATCATAATCCAGTGTTACCAGTGCCAGCATGTGATTCATGGAGTTTAACTGACGGTTAATGTGCCCTGACTGGCCAAGTATTAGTGTGATCCTGTACACTGTCTTGAATAATAGTGTTATAATGGACAATAAGCATCAATTCATGCGTCTGCATGAGTTTTGTGCCTGTGTATTTCAGGTCGATGCTCTGCGTTTACGTCTGGAGGAGAAGGAGGCTACGCTTAATAAAAAGAGCAAGCAGAATCAGGAAATGTCAGAGGAGAAGGGCACACTGAATGGAGAAATTCACGACCTCAAAGACATGCTTGACGTCAAGGAACGCAAGGTCAACGTGCTGCAGAAGAAGGTAAATGACAGTTCGCACACCAACACTGTAGCAAAATTGTTTGTTACTTTGATGGTTTCATGCGCTCAGAAGGAAATAAAACATTGTGGTCAAAAACTTTTGCAAGCAGTTGAGAACCATTGCAGCAGACTATGCATTCGTAAACATCGACGAGCCCTTCAAACGGGTGTCATTTCCTCCTCCTTAACGTAGATGGCACTGTTAGGCCACGTTTGATGACCTCTGGTGAAATGCACGAAACCAGCCTCACCAAATATTCCTTTGTGTAAATTTATGATTTCTAAAAGTAGGGAAAAGTTGTGTTTGTGATGGCGACGGAGTCTCCTGTTCTCAGAAATGACACACACAGGCCATTAACCTCAGGCTAACAGCGGGCGCCAAGGTTTATACGTCTGTTCTGCATCTTTCATATCCATGAAACAACTGTTTGCTACTGCCTCGAACACCCCCGTCGAATATACAAGAAGTCGTAGTTTTTGCCGTTCCCGCCAACATCGCTTTTCATCGTCAATATATTGGGTGCAGCTTTGAACTTCATTTCACAATATACAGACTTTGACAGAAATCGGCACACAAATGGTGCCAAGTCAAAATGTTTCAAGCTCGTGGTGCCGTACTCTTTGAGTTTGTCAGAGGATGTTTCCATAGTGACTGGCCATGGCTGGGTGTCCCATGAGGCAATGCTTCAGCGGTCACATCCGACTATCAGTTTCAGTTCTTCTGCGCTGAGATCACAGGCTGTGCAAACAAGCCCCCCATCCGCAGCCTCATTAATCTTGATTTAGGGATAGTCTGAGTGCACAGAACCCACTGTGAGCGCACCTTTATTTGGAAAACAGGAAGTCGTGCATCTGTCTAATGGCCATTCCAGGGATAATGTTGCAAATAATGCTCCTAAGATCGCTGTAACTTGTCATATATTATTTTACGACTAAGTTTCCCAAAAAAGCACATGGATCATTAGCTATAAAGTAGAACTCAAGTATGTTTGCTTGAATGGCTAAAAGCTGTACCTCTTTGAAATTCACTCATAGTTTACAGAATTGGCTGTTGACTGATAATCGTTACCCTGGAAGACCTTTTTAAGGTTGTAAATTGTGTTTTTTTTTCTAATACAGACTTTAGGATATTGCTCAAGTCAAATGCTTTTTTTTTCAGGTTTTTATTCATAATATAATTTTATATTCATAATATAATGTCTAAATGTGTGAAAATCCTTAGTATTTTTAATATAGTTAAAATTATTAATATTTAATTTATATTTATATATACATACAATATTTCGTTTTTTTTGTATTAATATTTTTGTATACGTCCATGTTTTATTAAAGTGAATTATGTTAAAAATAAGAAAGCTCTATATAGTCATAAATAGTTCTAGTGATAAAACTTGCGTACTTGCTGTTTACCCTGGAAGACCTTTAAAGGTTGTATATAACTTTTTTTTTTCCTAAAACAGACTTTGAGACAACTTCAATGTCAAATTTGCAGGTTTCTTTTTTAAATATTGTTATATTCATAATTTAAGGTGTAAAAATGCTATATATATATATATATATATATATATACATGCATACATATACATATATATATATACATACATACATACATACACACACACACACATTTTTGTCTTATTAAAGTAAATTGGGGAAAGAAAACACTATTTACATCACATATAAACAGTTTGTGGTGATAAAGCAGTGCTTACGTACTTGCTGTTTTGGGGAAAAAAAAAAAATTTTATTTAAGAGTGTCTCAAATATAAAGACATGACACTTTTTTGTTATTGTTTTTGTTTTTTGGCTATTTTCTTTCTCTGTTTGTCTCAACTGCTTTGCTTCTCTTCACAGTTTGAGTCTGAAAGCCTCTCAGAGTCATCAGGAGCGCGATGCTCTCTCAAGCCACAGAAAGAGAAACATTTAGTTTCCATTATAGTGCTTGAGCCGCTCTACATTGCCCCAGAGTTGTTCCTAATGGCTATAACATATTGAGACAGTGCTATGAAGGTATGCATGGGGCTGCTCAGCAGGACACCATTCAACGCACAGGTCAAACACGAGAAAACGAGAAACCGTACAGAGCAAGCAGGATTATATCCAGTGAGGAAACACTAGCTCATGTGTCATTTTGAATTTTTAAAAGCCTTCTGTACTTCTTTCAATGGACATATCATGAGGAGTTAAAGGGATAGTTCACCCAAAAAATGTTTATTCTGTCATCATTTACTCACCCTCATGCTGTTCCAAACCTGTAAGAATTTCTTTTTTTCTGTTGAAGTTTTTTTCCCTTTTTTCTGAAGAAGATATTTTAAAGAATGTTGGTGACCAAATACTTGACGGTAGCTATTGACTTCCATAGTGTTTTATGGAAGTCAGTGGCTACCAGCAATTGTTTGGTTACCAACATTCTTCAAAATATATTTGTGTTCAGCAGAAAAAAGAAACTTTGGAACAACATGAGGGTGACAAAATGACACAATTTTCATTTTTGGGTGAACTCTCTCTTTAACATTTATAATGTTGATACATTTTAACATTTAAGACTAAACTTCCTCCCTCAGTTCGCCCAGACTGTTTATGGAAATGTAGAAACTAGGTGATTCAGAAATAATCATGATTTTGGCATTGCTACCATCATTAACATAAGACTTCCAACATTTACATAAGAATGAAAATTCATTAATGAGAAACTTGACCCGCCCTGATGAATGATTTTTTTTTGCAATGCTTAAGATGTTAGCCAATCATAGCAGAGCTCATTTGCATATAGAATTCTGCAAGATAAATGCTGCATTAAATATTTCTCGCCTCCTCTATAGTAGTGAAGTATGCAATCTCGGGTGCAGCCAAAGTAGCAAAGACTGCCTGTTTAATTCCGAGGGTCAGTGAGAGTGGAAATTATAATGTAAAAAACAGTTTTTGGCTGTTTTTGATGTTAAAAACATTACAAGCAGGCTTTAGAAAAATAAAATGCTTCAGACGTGTAGAATATGGCCTCTAAATAAGCCACACTGTTTAGTTTTTTTCAGACAACATGTAGCGCTGTTACATTTGCACGTACGAAAATGAGCTTTCCTAGACTGTGCATGTCTGTGTATATAAGTGAGTAAATTAATAGATACACAGTGTCCTGTGAAGTATGCATTCGTTCTCAGAGGAGGCCTAGTTTGGGCTCGTTTCTTTTTTCTCGCACTCTCCTTTAAAGGGATAGTTCACCTTCAGTTGCTGGTCCCCATTGACTTCCAAAAAGCCACTATGCAAGTCAACTGAAGTTGAACTATCCCTTTAATGTCTGAACATCATTTTTTCTCTCGCTCGGAGCTGTTTGGCTTTGTAATTGTTTTCCCAGCAGCTGCTGGCTGTTGCTTTTCCTCTCTGCCTTCTCAGTGGCACCGTTTGCCTGCGTGGATGTGAGCGAGTGCATGCCGAACAGAGCAAAACACCTCCTCCAGCAGCAGCCGAGAGATTCGGCCCGCTCTTTTGCTCCTTTGTTTATATTCAGTGTTTTGTGTTTAACTGAACACTTACCCTTTAACAGCCTGGAAAATAACGATAATTTAATTGGCAACTGTCAGATAAGGTGGCAGACAGATCCGCAGTGGAAGCGGCTGAACTAAATATTGAAAACAGCGGTTTGGATAGGAATTATTTCACAAGTTCACTGCACGACAGGCTGCAGAAAATAACATTTTTTAATGCGAGGAGGGAGGAATACAAGACACAGTTCAGAAGAACTCGCTCAAGTATGTAAACTCGCGTCGAATGTCTTGATGGAGAGCAGCTCTCTTTGGCATGAGAGGGTTGTCAGAGACACTTTGTCATGGGCGGCGCTAGGGTTGGTTTTTTTCCCGTTTTTTTTCCCACAAAGTTTATCCAATTAGGGTTGCAGTTAATAAAAAATAGGCTGTCTGCATCTTATTTTGAAACGAAATGTTTAAATTATAGCACATGAATTCTGTTCTTCAGACGACACCAAAGAAATTAAACCTGTTTGTTGACTTTGCGGTCAGAGTTTCGCTCCATCCAGATGTAATAAACACCCAATATTGAGCGTTGCTCAAGGAATTTGTCTGCAAACTTTAGAAACATAATCCAGGACATTGAGGTTCTTGCAAAACTCTCGTATTGAGACACAATTTCATGAACCTCATGAACTTTCAGCAAATCCAGCAACTATATTTTTCTTAGAAGTAACAGCCTGCTAACTTCTGAACAAACTTGACACTTTGACGACATAAAACTGTCGTCAAAGTACAATGTGCTTGGTCAGTATGATTTTATGTTTTGAAAGAAATTAATACTTTTATTCAGCAAGGACACATTAAAGTGATCTAAAGTGACAGTTAAAGACGTTTATGATATTATAAAATATTTCTGTTTTAAATAAATCCTGTTATTTTGAACCTGCTATTCATCAAAGAATCCTAAAAAAAAATGTATCGCGGTTTCCACAAAAATATTAAGCAAAAGGTTTTCAACATTGATGATAATAAGAAATGTTTCTTGAGCATCAAATCAACATGTTAGAATGATTTCTGAAAGATCACTTGGCTGCTGAAAATTCAAAATATTAAACTAAAAATATATCAAAATACAAAACAGTTACGGTAAAGTGTACATTTTAAATGTGAAATTTGAAAACATTTACTGTATTTTTGTTCACAAATGCGTCCTTGGTGAGCATAAGAGACTTGTTCCAGAAACATCTTACTAACCCTAAATTTTTGAAAGGTAATGTACAGCAAGCTAAAAGGGTCATCATTGTTGTTTTATTTTAACAACAGTGATTTAAAATCCATACAGCGGTTTACGATCGGCTGAAACCAAGTTTAGTGGGACATTTTTAGTTTTCGAGCCAGTAGAATTGAGGGTTTTACTTCATTAACAATGACTCACCGCACATGTAACGTTTCAACATGTATTATGAAGTGTATCATATTCCCATATTTCATCGAAGGATGTCCCCATGCGCATTCACAGAGGGTTTAGGCTAAACCC